AACTGAAGTCTGACCGCAGTAGGTAGATACTCCTACCTAGACAAAACAGTTCAGCAGTGTTTTAAAAGTCACTCAATACCAACTTTTCTGATATATTTAAGGTAGGTAATAGAACACGTGTTCATTTTTTGCCAGCAGTCCGATTTTCCAACCACAACAAAGTTGTTTAGCCACTCATCCCCTCTCCACGCACTGTGCAAAACCAGCACCCAGAATGGCAGTGGCCTCAGAGCATGGAGAGAGAAGCTGCAGGAGTTCCCACAGATCCAGCTCCATCCCAATGATTTTAGACTGGGACTACACGAGGCAGGAAAAGAAGCACAGGACTGCAGTGAGACCCTAAGGCAAAAAAATATTTGTTCTCACTAGTACTTGTAATTCCAGAGCACTAAATTCATTCAAATCATTGGCAAGGAAACCATTGGGGTGGAGGGCAAATAATGTGTTTATCAAATGCTATTTGTTTGCATTAAATGCAGCATATTGTGAAAAAAAACCAAAACCAACATACATGGAGATCAGCAACTCCCTCTAGTTATCTTAAAATTATAGAAGGTGACCTTAAATAGCAGCTCCTGAAATGCTTTTGTTCTGAAAGCTTTTGGCAAATCAGGAAGGATCAACCTGTTTCCCTCCTGACATTTCCCACACCCACTGCCTTTTCAATGGCAAGCTGAGAAAGGGTATACAGACCTAAAAAACAAAATCAGGAAGGATATTGGACAGGGTAGCAAATTTCCACCTAATCAGAGGTTCTGCTCTTCCCTAACAGTGACATTCACCTCTGGAGCAAGGTTTACCACATTGAAAGAGAGGCAGCTGAAAAATGGATTACAAGTGAGAGACTGGGCACATTTTACTGATGTCTCTACCAAAGTTGCTGGTGACATGGATGCTCTTGGGAAAACAGGAGACAAAGTAAAATTGATGTGAAAGGCAATATTGTTGTGGGCCCAAGGAGAGAAAGAGGGACTATACAGAAATTCAGGGGGAAGATGAGGATTGAAGAAAATGTAGTTAAGCCAAACTTCCCAACATAACAGTTACAATCCAAGAAAACCAGCCAAGACTTTACCAATACATTACTGCTGGCGTGATCTGTGCTTTAGAAAAAGGAAGCATTTTCCCAAGTCTGTAAAGCTCATTTTTCCTCAAAATCCAAACAACTTTTAGCAAACTTCCCAAATAGGTAAAATAAGAAAACTTCTGTCTATTTTACAGTCAAAAATAACCAAGAAGTTGTTTCATATTTGGAAAATTATAACACAGACAGCTCAGCAGTTCAGACTTGTCTTGTCAAGCATTGCCAGCAGCAGATATTTATGCTAAGTATAACTCCTTACTTTAAAGGGGTTTCTATTTGTTGCATTAATAAACAATCATAATGATGCTACCAGGCATTGTTATAATTAGGAAACACTAGAGGTCAGTCATCCTTTCTTCTCATCAAGTGCAACTCAGTATGATTACAAACAACAGCTGGATGTTAACAGCAAGGCAGGATGAAAGGGAGTTATTTACATTCTCAAGCACAAATATGTCACTACAAGACCTGATGGTCAAGCAACCAAAATCTGTAACAGGGCCTGTCCTCCACAGTTTGAGATGGGACAGAAATAAGTTCTCTGTGCACTGGGACAACCTAAGCAAATGAAGCAACCAAAGCAAGTGAGAACTGCTCAAAAATCCATTATGTCTGGATTAAAAGCTTTTTACTTTGTTTAAAGGTAAAACTGAGAGCTTTGCTATCACAAGTGACTTGATCTTACTGCATGCCATGGGAGAGGTGGGTGTGCCAACAGCAATGTACACTGCCTTACCTCATGCACAGAGTGACTTAGTTGCTTACAAAAGAACTTTTGCTGCTTCATTATGATATTTTAAAGTCTTCCACTATGCCTCCAAACAAGCTCAGGCCTGCACAACTCATAAAGCACAAGATTCAGACAGAGCAAGACTGCAGACTCTAGGCAGCCGCCTCTGCAGCCAGAAAATGTCCTGCTCTCCCAGCTTCAAGAGATTTCCTCATTTAAGCATCCCCAGAGACAAGGAAGTCCTAATGTAGCTCTGGCAAAGTCAGCCAATCCTAAGGAGGATGATGGCTGGTCTCCCTCCCACACACACTGCTTTTCCCTTTCATTATGCCAGCTTTTTGGGGCATCTAAGGTTTAGTGGCACTCTCCTGATCTTGCTTATCCTGTGGAGTTAACATGAAGGACGGCAGTCAAACTCAGGCAGAGAAAAACTGCAAGAAAACAGCAAGTTTCTTTTTTCTAATTGACAGCACATATATTATACCAATAACTTCACCAGAAGATGATCTTTTCCATCTGATGGTTGTTGCCTGCAGGATTAAATCCTCACAGACTTTGCCTGGCAGAATGGAAAGGAAAAATCATGCCCCAATAAAGTCATTGCAGTAACACACACTGCATAAGGAGAAAGGTTTGTTGTCTTCTTCCAGATTTCCTCCTACAGATCTTTCTATTGGGAAGCAAAGCAAACCAGACTTAAAGTCATTTTGGTTCAGCCAGGCTGATTTTAGAGACAGGAGCTGTCACTCAGCTCACTACACGGTCACAGGATTAAAGCCTAGTATTTTCACACAACCAATACTTCAATCCCACTGTTAGACAGCTAACTAAGACTGAATGCATCCAACTCCAGACTGGCAGGGCACCAATAAAGAGAGGCAATCCCCAAGCTATAGGGGTGTACTTCATGCGTATGGCTGGGTTTTTCTGGGGTTTCTCCCACTTGAAATTACAGACAGAGTTCTTCACAGATGTATGTCAGTATCCAACCCTAAAAAAAAAAAAATTGTTCACTGTATTGACAGATTTACCAGATGCTTCTGACAGGCTTCCTGCCTTCTCCCTACCTGAAATATCCTGTCTTCAACAACAATGAATTCTCAACACTACCTGGAGTTCCTTCCTGATGAGCTGTCCCAAGACCCAGGGTGTATCCGCTAAATCAGTCCTCCCTGCCTCCATAAAGCTCCTTGTGTTGTGCCAGATGTCACAGAATACAGCTGGGATAAATACACCCTCAGCCAGCACAGGACCTATGGCTCCCAAGATCTGGCACTCTTATATTACCCATATGGATTGTAATGCAATCTCATTGAGACCAACAGCAGCTTTGCCACCCCACTGTTACAGATTTGGTGGGAGCAGGGATAGATTCTAAAACCACTCAGGGGTCCAAGTAACTCAACACAGCTTTTACCAAAGGAGAGTTATTTGGTGTAACTCTCAAAGTTCAAAAAGACTCAGTTTGCAATTGAAGCTAAAGAGAATTTTCCCACTGGAACCCAAATGACATTTTACTGTGATCAGGTCCAATTTCCAGTGGACCACTGTAGTGAATGGACAGCACCTGAAACAAAATGAAAGACCTCTGGCTTGCAAAAAGAAAATACATTATTTCAGGTCCAGAGTACCAGAGAGGAACTTGCTTAGATGATCAACTTCCTACTGTTTGAAGACCAGTATCTCTGAGCAAATTGCCCTCGTCTCTGCTTTTATCTCCTTGAATACAATATAAATGGTAACAGCACAGGCAAAAAAGGCTTTCTGAAATATTGATTAATTTACATATATATATATATTCTGAAAAATATATATATATTCTGAAATATAGATGAAAAGTAGCATGAGTCACAGTGGAGACTGCTGGGGTACTCAATGTCATTGTAACAAACAAATTGTACTACAGAAGACAGAGGAGCCGTACTGCTATCACAACATCCATTTTTACAGGGAATTCAGTGTGGGAACTGGGCAGAACAACAGTGTCAGTCACTTCTAGGAAGCCTGGCAAGAATGAATTCGAAAACTAACACTAGCCCCCCACAGAGCCCTTTCTAGACACAGAGGTTACTTCAGGAACAAATTCTAAGCAAAAGAAAAACAAAACAATGACCACATGGTGCATTAGTGTATCTTTTAGAACAGCAGAATGCCTTTGATCTTCAGCTTCTTTTGCTCTAAAAACAGAATCACTATTTAATGATACTTTTTCCCTCTTGAATACAGAAATATACATCTTGAGTGACAGTGACTTTTTGCCTCTTGCAGGCTGTACCAAGGGCCTTATGGATTGATCCATTCTCCCAAATAGGAAATAGAACAATGCAGACTTTATACCTGGCTTGAGGGCAAGAATCACACGGTCTCCCATCTTTCATAATACTCCGTCACACAGGTAACCCAGAATGTATTAGATAACACAAGTCATCACACTGTGGGACACTAACAATTTACTCCTTGAGTTAATCCCTTGGTTTTAATCCTCTGTCAAACCAGAGCAGTACACAAGAAGAAAGAGAAATTTGTACCTTCTGAAAAACACCTGTGGGTGCACCAGTTTACCACTTGCTCTGTTAGTGCTTGCTAAAACATGCCTACACACATGAGCTTAATCATACCCCCCATACCTGAATTAAGCTGACAAAGTATCAAAGAGAAGTCCTATTTTAATAGATGTAACTCAAACACAAGTTTAGACAACTCTGAAGAAGCTGAGCAAAAATAAGTTTTATAAAACCTTCTTATAAGTGAACTTGCAAAAACACAGACAAGCAGTCTGGTCTTATCTTTAGGTAGGTCTGCATGGTCCTAGCACTGAGAAGTCCCACAAATGACATCTCTGCACACAGCCCAAGACACAAAACTCCAGGAACGATGTGGGCACTGACCAACACCCCCTCAAATCCAACACTCACAGCCCACACCCCACACGCTACAACGTGAAAGCAACCCAGTTTCCCGGGTTTGCATGCACAACTAACCCAGCATAAAGGACACTGCTCCCCTAAATGCTCCATTTGGAAAATGCGCAAGTTTTGGGAAGAAAAAATAAGGAACGAGACCCACACGTTATATTTGGCATCAGGAGAAGTCGTCCGGGAAGACAGGGGAAAGAAACAACATCCCTGCTGCTGCAAGGAGTCACTGAAGGGTGAATAAACGTTTTTAAATGCGACTGTCACTTACTTATCCAGGACGAAGTAGAGATCAAAGGCACCGTGACAGGAGCGCTGCTCTTCTTGCTCTTCCTCCTCTGCCGGCCGGGCGCAGCAGATGAGACTCCCCATTGCCAGCAAAAGGCAGCACAAAAATGCCGCTTTCTCCACACTGCTCCAGCAACTCGCCATCTTTTCCCTTTCCTTAATTCCTCCTCCCCCAGTCTCTCTCTCTCTCTCTCTGCAAATCTTACAGGCGCTTCGGAAGCACCGAGAGCAGAGAAAAAAATCAAAATAAAACAACAACAACAACAACAAAAAAAGAAATAAAAAAAAGAAATTACTATCTTCAGGATCTCAGCTCAACCCTGAGGGCTCCAGGCAGCCCTGCCCGCGGGCGCCGGACCGCTGGCTCCGGGCAGGGGGCTGAGCCCAGGCGGATGGTCCCCAGAGCCCAGTCCCCCTTCCCTGCCCGCTGCCCCCAGCGCCCCAGCCCCGTCCCGCGAGGAGAGAACAGGCTCCTCTCGCACGGGCCAAAGGCAGGAAGGGGCAGAGGGAGGGGAGCGGGAGGAGGGAGACAGGATCTTAGGGGGGCAAGATGAACCGGGACTTTCCTGTTCCGGGATACCGATATGGCAAAGGCTGCAGCTAGCGAGGGACCGAGCTTAGGGACCACTGCCCGCCGCCGGCGGGGCACAGGGCGGGCGTTCCTGCCTCCTTCCCTCTCGGACTGCCCTCGGGGCAGGACAGCGGGGAGCGGGCCGGGCATTCCGCCGCCGGCGGGCACGGAAGCCGGCCGGGGGCCGCGGCAGCCCAGCTGCATTCCGGAGCATCGCTGCGCGTCCCGCTAAGCCTCTCTCCAGCAGGCTCGGGAGCGGCTGGAGCCCAGAGGAGGTCAGAGCACAAGGCAGAGAGAAGTTGCTGTAGGAGATGGGCGTCGTGGCAAAAACCTGTGACAAAGCGGAGGTGGGGGGCACAACGCGAGAGGGCACTTGAGAAAAATCTGTTTGTAGCTGAGTGCAATTAAAAAGATTATTGCTTGGGGGTGGGGGTAGGGGCACGTCCCTCTCGTGCCACAGCAAATTGTTTCTCTTCGTGGAAATCTCGGTTTACTCACACTGGAGTCTGAACACATCCTGCAGGCGATGAGTAATGATGAAATGAAATCTCTTAATGGAGGCTTTGCACAGTAGCATAATCACTCCCGCCTGATACACACAGGTTACAAAGCGGTGCCCTAAAGAGATTGCCCAGCTCATCTGGATGGTGTCTCCAAAGTTTGAATAATTAGTGGCTCCCAGCCGCTTCCCCCTCCCCCACACTCTTTGCAGCCCTTAATTAATGAAAAGAGCCACGGGGAGGGATGCGAGCGGAGTCACTTTGCATGACAGAGTGGGGGCTAGACATTTCTCTCTCGGGGCGAGGCTCCCATCGCGAGCCAAGGAGGAGGGAACCCATCCCCTGTGGGGTCTGGCGCGCTGTCCCACCGAGCGCAGCCCCCCGAACACCCAGCGCTTCGCCGGGGCCGCGCCACCACGCTCCAGCCAGGACTCGCTTCTACGCTCCAGCAGCAAAAACTGGCATCTCCTGTCCCCGACAAAGGTGATACCCGCGGGGGGCACGGCCCACCTGGGCGGGGCTGCGGGCGTGGGACGTGTGCGTTGTTTCCCCACGCACACAGCAGCCCTGCCCGCTCCGCGCCGAGTGTGCGGCTCTTCGGGGAGCAGTGCGATGCCGGCGGGCCCTTTCCCTCAGCGCCCGACGGGGACACGCGTGGGCGCGGCGCGCCTGGGAGCCCGTGGGAGCCCGCGCCCCTCCAGCAAAGCAGCCTCGGCGTGCTTTGTGCGGTGTGGGCTGCCGCCCGCCAGTCTGAAATCCCTTCGGGAAAGGCATCTCGATTTCAGTTGCGTGTTTCTGTGCTGGACCGAATTCAGACACAGCCAACCGCAGCGGCGGTCGGGGACTTATCAAGGAAAGATTAGAGGGTCCGCCGGCTTTCAGCCGCTTTGCCTGGTTTAACTATGCACAGCTAAAAGCCGAATGCACTGCTTGAGCTCACCACTTGAAAGGTTTTTTGAGCACTGGCCAGTTGAGACCCAGCGATTACTTAGATCATGGAGAAATAGAAAAAACCCACATCCTCCCTGGCGACATTCACAAAAAATGAGCAAACGGCTGCTGAGCAGCAGGAATCCCCCGCTTCCCCTCACGCCGCCGAGCTTCGGCCTCGCCGGTGCCCACTAGTGTCCGCAGCCCGCGTGGTCCCGGGAGCCCTCGGCAACCCCTGCCCTCGGCAGCCGTCCTTCCCCGCACACACCGCAGCCTTTCAAAACGAAATAAAAATGCTCATAGCGTCAGAGTCCCTCGGTGCCTCGAGAATATCAGATAGTACTGTAAAATTACCCGGCAGACTTCAAGGTAGTCTCCAAAGCAAAGTAAGGCACTGCCGAGAAAAAAAAATTACTATTTTTCGATAATGTACACTGCCCTTTTCTAGGCTCTGATATAGCCTGTGATTCTGCACAGAGAGATGGCCTGCTCATCTGCCTCCTCCAAAGGGCCCGGCGAGGGGGCACGCTTAGATGCTAGGTGGGCGTATGCAAAAGCAAGGACACGGCTGAGTTCTGCCTCGGTCGGTGCTGGGCAGAAACACCGTGGGGAATGTGGGCCTGCGTCTTTGCTAGCGCCCCTTCCGTGCTCCTCCATCCCCTGTGAGGAGGGCCGGGCACGGCGGGAGCTTTCGGGCCGCCTCTGCAGAGCCAGAGCCTCCTGTTTCAAACAAAACAGGTTTTCCGATCGGCCTGAGCCGCTCCTGTGGCTGTCACACCCCGGGCAGGCCTGTCCGGCCTCAAGCCCAAGTGAGGTTTGTGTGGGGTCAGGCAGGGCGGGCCGGGCCCGTGACCCGGGCGCTCGGAGCCATTTGATTGGGTCTTGCCTGAAGGAAAATCACACCAAGCACCAGGAGAGCTGACCCTTAGGTGCACATCTCACCCTCTTTGGGACACAGGTTACCTCAGCACAGTGTCTCACAGTGCTTCAAGCTCCCGCAAGGCAGGTGACCACGTCTAATGGTCCCTTCTTATGCCTTCTGTCGCTATTTGCATAAAGGCTGCAAAAATTATAAACTCTTGCGATGTGAAGTGCAGTGGGAATTGTCCATCTTAGTTTCCTGACACCTGCATCTCAAACCAGGTGATGTTTCCCAAGCACTATTAGGAGATGCCACCAGCACACCGGTTCCTGGTAGGATGCAGAGCTTACAGGGCAGCTGGGCTGCTACCAAACCCCCGCTGTCCTCAACAATCCTGTTCCTGCGGCCCGAGCCGAATTTTAAAAGAGAACAGGAACTCTTGAGTTCATCCTCTATAATCCCTGTATCACAAAACACAGCGAGAGTGGCTCGCCCTCATTATTGGTATAAGATTACTCTTCAATTGCAGCGAAAATCCATCCTTTCAAAAGCATTAAAGGGTTGACGTTTCTTTTCCTGATACAAGCCCATATTCAGATTACATGGACACTAATCAAATAACCCGGGTTATTTCATTTGTCAACATGTTCATAAAAATTTTCTACCAGGCGTTAAAGGCATTTATATGGAACGACATCTTTCAAAAGCAATGTCGCTAGTCCAGATTTAGGGTATATTTGATTATGACAAGACGTTTGATGGTTTTATTTTACATACCAGCTGTGCCACAAATCGTTTCATACCTCAGAGTCCTAATTTTTATCCTGCGAGTATTTTCTACAAAACAGTTGTTTTCATTTTAAGCGGCTCTTGTCAATACCTGCAGCTCCTAGAAGAGCCTTCTATTCAAAAGCGTTGTCAGATGATCTAAAGGACAAGTGGAAAGGCGGCTTTGGAGATGGTTTTGTTTGGTTTATTTCGGCGTGCGTGTGTATGGTTTTCCCCTCCCCAACTTTAAAAGAAACTCCTCGGTTCATGGTCCCGTTACAAGGGGGAATCCCGTCCACCTCGTGGCTCCCCCGCGCTGCCGTCCGCAGGATGCCTTCTGCTCGGCCAGGGCTGCGGGCCCCGCGGACGGGGTGGCAGCGGCTCCCGGGGGAGGGGGCGCCTGGCTGGCGGCGGGGGTCGGGGGCAGGAGCTGCGGTAGGCGTTTCCCGGGGTCTGCTCTGGGCGGGGAGTCGCGGCGGGAGGAGGGTGCCGGCGTGCTGGGGCGGTGCGGCGGCGGGGGCTGCGGCGCGGCTCTCGGGGGGCCGGGCGGCCCCTGCGGTGGGGTGAGCTGAGGTGAGGGCTCCGCGGGCACTTGGCCGTAGCGGGACCCTGGGAGAGGGACGGGGTGCGGCGGGACCCCCGGCGCCGCAGATCCCCCTTCCCCTGCAGCGGGACCCCCAGGTGAGCGGGGCCAGGGCAGAGGGGCCGGGCGGGGGGCTCGGCGCGGCCGCTGCCCCTGCAGAGCGCGGCGAAGCGGAGCAGCACCGTCCGTCCCGCCCGGCCGGGCTGCGCTCCCGGAGCCGCGGAGCTGCCGGGACCGGGCCGGGGCCACTCCCGCTCTCCCGCACGGCCGGGACCTGCTCGGGGACGGGGACAGGGCTGGGCTGCCCCGGGGCCGGGAGTGGCCGGGGAGCAGGTGGGGTCACGGAGGTGGCATTTGCTGACTGGTGCCCAGCCTTGGCCGTGCTGCCGCCCGCTCCAGTGCGGCTGGAGGGGCCCGGGCAGAGCGGCTGTACCCACCCGGGGCTGCCGGGGCCATGCCCGCCGGGGCTGCCGGGGCCATGCCGACCTAGGGTTACCGGGGCTGCCGGGGCCGTGTCCACCGGGGCTGCGGGGGCCCTGCCCACCGAGGCTGCCGGGGCCGTGCCGACCCAGGGTTACCGGGGCTGCCGGGGCCGTGCCCGCCGGCAATGCCGGGGCCGTGCCCACCGGGGCTGCCGGGGCCGTGCCGAGCGGAGGGGGAGGCGGGTCCCCCTCGGCACCCCGCCGGCAGTCGCGCTTTTCCTCCCTCCCGGCTCTCTTCTCTCGCCGAGAGCTCTCGAGCATCAGTTGCTCTTTTTATTGGTTACAGCGCTCCTCATCCTTCCAACTTCGACAGGTGATCAGAGCATCGTGGCTGTTCTAGGTACTTACCTAGGGTCTAATTGCTTTTATGAAATTGATGAACTTTGTTTGGAATAGCTCTCATTCTCTCTGTGTGTGTATTCCTTATATCATGAATATCCATGTAGTAGAAATTTCTTACTTGAGTTAGGAGCTGCTATTGCTGTCACTTTAAAATGCCGCATTGATCTTTAGATTTGCAAATCTTTACATTAAAAGATTTTTGTAGGAATTCAGTCCGCTGAAAATGTTTGAAGCATTTTAATGACTTTTTTTTCTGTGAACTGACAGCTACTAGTTGAAAAAAATGTCAATAGAAATTTGATGGAAGATCAGATTTTTTAATAGTTTTATATTTTTAGTACAGTTGCTTTCAAATAAAAAGCAGTTGTAGTCATGCATGAAATTCAGCATTTAGTAGTCAATTATGTCTCAGGAGTTTTCCCTTATTTTTGGCTTTTTAAAATGTAGCACTTGACAGCTTTTGTTACCGTGTATTGAGTATAACTGGTACTAGAGAGAGGAATAGAGGAATTTATTTTGGCGGTAGAGTGATTAAATTTATGATTTTTAATGTATAAAACTACACCAAAGCATAAACTGTTATTTGAAAATGCAATTATTTTTTGTATTTAATAATTTTCTAGTATTTCAAAGCAAAATGATGCTGCCTTATGGAACTCTACAGAGATCTAATTTTCTAGAGAAAATAGTTTTGTAGCCATAGAAATACTAATGTAAAGTCAAAATATTTAGATCCCGTTAGCTGAATGTAATATAACCAGATGAGAAAGTACAAAAATAAATTATGGGTAAGAATTACAGAGTGTACCAAAGATTTTGAAAAAGAAATTAGTTGGCTAAATCCTAGCATTTACAGATGGATATTTCCATGTCTGTAATGCTGTGATTCTGTTAATATAATTTTCCTGCAGCACAGTCTTACGTTACCTGTAATTGCTATTGATAAACACCAGGTCAAAGAGCAAAATATTTTGTTGGAAAACAAACTGTTTTAGGTAAGACTTTAATTTGCAAATGACTTTCAATTAAAAGGTTTCATTGTAGCAAAAACTAACTTATTTATGTTGCCTCCCACAATTTCACCTTGCATAGTGTCCTTCAGCTCTGTCACTTGCTCTTACTGGAGTTGACATCATGTGTAGTAAGTTTGGCACAAATGTAAGTAAGATTAATGTAAGTTAATGCCGCTTAGTACTGTTGAAGAAATCTTCAGCACCAGCCATGTGGAAGTAAGTGATCTTTGTTTAAAAATATTTCTTCTAAAATACAAATTATGAACATGAAAAATCACAAAAAATAATCAGGTGTATGTATGGCTTAAATAGGTGTATGTATGGCTCTATGTTCAGCTGTGAAGACATGTATATGTGTATATATGTTTCCATCTTTATGTATGTGCTTACATACCACATGTATATGCTTTTCTGTCAGAAAGAAACATTTGAGCAGATATTACATTTTTTTAAAGCTGCCAAAATCAATGGTAGGACTCTTAAATAGGAGCATATCTTAATATATCTTTAAATTGAACCAGATAATGTAACTTTAAAGAATTTCTGAAAAAGAGACATCAATGTGAATTGTATGAAAATGGAAGACAAATATTTATGACTGTTTTCACAAGTTACACATTTTGGTTCAGTGTGTTTGTGTTTGGTTCAGCCTGTTTGTGTTTCATTCATGCTGTTTGTGTTTGGATCATGTTGTTTGGTTGGCTGTTGTTTCTCCATTTTCTGTGGCTGCATACAGGGAATGATGGTTTTGTCTGCATGGATGCCTGGGTGAAGGAGCCAATGCACAGATCTATGTCAGAACAAATGTGTAAGCACAGATTACTGTGGTCAGGGCTGCTGTTTATGTGAATCAAGGATTTTGCTCAAAGCAGGCACACACATCTGTGTGACAAGTAACTTTCCTAGACTGCGTGACAGATGAATGGTTGCCTTCTTTGTTCCCCCTCTCATGGAATAACATTTGCTTTCTGTTCTTTTTGGATGTCCCTGTAAAATTCGAACTTCCTGTGATGTTTCAGAGCATTATGTCAATTGCTGAATGTGAACAGTGCCAGAGCAGCCGGTGCAAAACCAGACCAAGTCCTGAGGTGACCACTAGCACAATTCAGGCCTGGATATGAGATACTGTGAGCTCTGAACTGAAGTGTATCCATACAGTGTATGGCATGTGCAGCTGTATAAGCAGTTGAAATTATGTATTCATAACATTCACAGTTTGATATTCCTCAGTCCTGGATGAAAAATTAAAATAAGCTCCCTTTTTTTCTATAGAAACCCATTTTTTTCCTTTATCCTACAGAAACCCTGTTTTTTAGGTCTTAGGCCTTGAAACCACAAGAGTGAAGTGGTGGATAAATGCACTGCTTCAGTAAATGGAACAGCTGTAAACCAGTGAAGAGTCAGCCCTTCACACAAAAATAAAGTCTTTGAAAGCCAGTAGACTGTGGAGCTGTAGTCATCTCCTCTTTATGCACAGGTGGATTGTCTGATTTATGAGTGACTTGTACAGCCCAATACCATCCAACAGGATTCATTAGATCAGACACAGTGCCAGACAGAGGCATTCATTCTGTCTTTGGGACCAACCCAACTGGAAAGGAGTATTGACATTTTATGCATCATGAGGCCAAATTCCTAGACCCAGTCTGTTTGAACCACCAGGATTGTAGAAAATAAATGTACTTCATCCTTTCCAATGGATGCAGCATGTTATTACTGTTGCTCATTGTCCAGTTTGAAGTATGAAGAGTTCTCCCAGTGCCTGCACTGCATTTCTTGTGGTTGAGCACTGGAAGAGATGGAACAGAGACCTCAGTAGCCCTGTTGTTCATGTTCTGCCAGATTCAAAACCTCCAGCTGAATCCAAGGAGGCTTCATGTGGAACTGTGCAGAGACTGTTGCATCACACATCCCAACAAGGGAGTATTAACCAGGGTTTCCAGCTGTGTGGGATAGCCCATTCCTTTCCTCCCTACCACATTTCTGGCCATGGAAGAGAGTGGAAGTAGAATTAGGGGTTCAGTGTGGAAATCCCAAAAACCATAGGGAAGTTTGGTGCTGGGCTGCCATTTGAGAGCCAGTGGGGTGAGAGTATGTGCATCTGCTGGGACTTGTTCAAATCTCAGTTATTTTCTCATCAAACCAAATATGATGCTCAATCCCAGGCATTTTGTACCTGACATCAGGTAAAGACTGGAAATTGCATCCTTGTGGTGGTCTTAGACACATGATGTAATGTTCATCTGCTTTGGAGAGGGAGGTCTGCATGTCTGTGTGGCAGCTACCATGCATCAGGGGAGAGGCCACTTCAACTTCCCTATTCTCAGAGAAAATAAGAACAAACTTGAAAGCTTTTCTTTTAGGTTCCACTTCCCAGTGGTTCCTGTATGTCACAAGACTTGTTGAAAGCAAATGTGGAGCTTGAGGTATTTGTTAATTTCCAATCAGGGATTTTAGCTCTGTCTTCTTCATTATTCCCACAGAAGTTTGAGAGATTGTTCATAAATAAAAAGATTTGGCAGTTTCATGATTCACTAGGCTGGGTATCCAGCCAAGATATAATGATGGTTCATCAAAAGCTGTCAGCTTACATTGCATGTACTGGGGATTTCAGATGATGGAGGAAAATTTGAAGACCGCACAGCCTTAAAATAGTAAGAACAGGAGAGCTGCTCCCTGAAGGTATCGGGATGATACAATAACAAAGTCATGGGCACCCCATAAACTTGAAGGTCTCTAATTCACAATGAAATTCACTCCATAAGGGCCCAGTTTCTAAAAGCTCAAACTAGACACCAAACTCCACACCCTGAGCTGCCTTCTCATCATTCCAGAACAATCTAGGCAGTGAGCTTCCCTATTTCTGCTCATTTTTAGGTATTTGTCAGGTTAGAGTTTTGCAGCTGCTGTACAGAGAAGTGTGAAGAAAGAAAGCTGGGGTGGCCTGGAATGCCAAGGGAAGACCATTTCCATGCATCAGGCTAGTTCAGTCCCGATTGTATTCCATTCTTCCAGATTCTGTTCGTCTCTGCAGTCAGCAAATTCCTCCTTGATGCATAGTTGTATTTCCTTGTACTTCTTGCTAGATGCCTAGCTCAGGTAAGCACATCAGGCAAGTGTGACTGAATCATGCCAGGAGAACAGGGGATTTGTTAGATGAGCAGTACATCAAGAGCTGTGAGGAACTGAGAAGAGAGGTACTCAAAATCTGCCCTAACTGTAGCCCTGGATTGCAAAAAAAAAAGGTTAAAATTCCAATCT